CGGATAAGTCTAAAAATCATGTTAAATTTAATAGAGCATCTTAACGAAAATAATCAGTTAAATTAACAGTCTGAGCATAGTAAATAGTAATTGTTTATATTATTTTCAGTTTGAGCAGGCATCAGCACTACCTTTCAGTTCAGCAGTTCAGGTGGGGACTCAGACTAAGTACTACATTTATTATAATATCGCTACCATGTTTGAGGTATGTATATTCAGTATCCGCTCGGAATAATCGCCGGTCCAGTCTGGGTTCTAGTGGCCCTAGTCTGCCCACTAGAGTGTGCACATGGTGTCCGGCTTTGCCGGCAGATGTTCAGTTCAGACGTGACGTATGTCACGACGTGGCTTATGTCACNNGTTCAGACCGGTATCAGTTCAGTTCAGATATATATATGCTTAGTTCATGATATTGTTATTATTTACGATGTTTTACATTAGTATGAGTTTCCACGGAGCACAGTGCCTAGTCCTCACGCCCCAGTTTTATCTTATTTTTCAGGTCAGTAGGTCGGGCCGGGAGTGTGACATGACGGAGCAGCTCGGGACATTCAGGATATTTGTATATATGTTTTTGGACTGTATAATTAATATTTACGCTTCCGCTTACTTTTGACGATCTTTGACGATGCTTTGATGATTTTGACGGTAATATCATATTTTGATAAACTTTTCAGATAACACAGTTTTTAAATAACCGGACGTTTTTAATAAGTTAAAACAACGGTTTTCTAAGTTAAGTAAAGAATTTTCACGGTAGCACCCCAAATCAGTTTCGCAAAGTAAAAATGTTTTAGTTTTCAAAGACTTTGCGAATAAAGGCGCTACTCTGATTTATTTAGTAAGGTGGGGTGTTACAAAATGCATTACATTTATTAGTGAATAATCAAATTTCAGTTACCAAATAAAACATATTAAACGTGTTCCTTAAATTGCGCATGAATGGGGATATCGGATTTCAATTAAAAAACAAAAGATATGGTAAGTTTATATATCCTATTAATTAGAAGATTGTTTCAATACAAAAATAGAAAGATAAGGAATTTGAATCTCAAACAACGTCATCTTCTATACATATAAAATACACAATCATGATTATATACATAAGATATACTCATTATATATAGACGACATACATAAAATATACAACAGATATACAGAAGATAAATCGATCTTGTCATTATATACAAAATTTATATAGAAAGTATACAGAATATATACAGAAAACATATTAGACCAAAAAATTCAAATTTCAACTCGATTTATATACATAAAATATACACAAGATTGATTCGCCGCCAGGACCCTCTTTCTCTGCCTCCCAATCCTCACTAAATTATCTTCAGCTCGATTTATTTTTCGATCTCTTCAGACCCTAACAAGCAAACCGTTCCCTTTTCCAATTACCATGGCCAGGAAACGAAAAACCTGCACTACAAAAGCTACCGAAGAGCCTGAACTCGTACAACAAACTGAGCCCGAACTCAGTCGTAGCCCGACTGAAAACATAGTTGTTGTTTGCTACATCCTTTCGCAAAAAAGAAGACCGTCAGTTGATCAAACGTGCTGCTATTCGGGCTCCCGGTAACTGGAAAACATCCGCTGTTCGCTGTTGAATAGGGTCAGGTCTGCTCGTGTGGAAGGGGTGCGGCTGTTTGGTCCGATGGAGGATGGGCTAGCTACTAAGATTATTGAAAAGCGGACAGTGGACAGAGAGAGGGAGAGAGAAGGAGAAGAAGAGATAGGGAAGAGAGAGAGAGAGAGAGAGAGAGAGAGAGAGAGAGAGAGAGAGAGAGAGAGAGAGAGAGAGAATGTACCTTTAATTACGCTTCATTTCATCTTTTAAATTAATCATATTTTATAAAATATGATAATCTTACAATTAATGTCATACATCTAGTAATTTTGCAAATAAAAATGATATGTTGTGTAAAGGGTGTAATTTACTCAATTTTAATTCACCATACTGATGCCAATACTCCAAATCCCCCATCGAAAATACTAAGAAAACCTTTCAACTATTTAAGTGAGTGTTCAACCATCCTTGACCAAAGACAGTAACATGATCGCTTGGTTGCATTGCCCGTTACCGATTTTGGACCAATTCAAACAGTTCTTAAATGGTTTCAGGCCCCAACAATTTCACAGCTCAAATCGGACCGGTGTATTGACCAGTTCCCGGCTTAACCGGTTGAATCGGCCTGTCTGGTCCGGTTTTGAGAACATTAGAAAATATTCAAACTTTGGTTGCACGGAGTCTCCACAACTCAAGAAGACGAAAAACAGAAACATGCTAACTAAGTAATCCTAGGTAATCTAACACGAGCCTTCTTGACTAAATTAAGCCTAGAACAAGGTCTCAACCTTAGCTCGGAATTTAGTCGAGTCAATTTCATCGAACCTCAGTCTTTCTCATGTTCGAGGTCTCAAAAGATAAACACATTGAATTCCTAACATAATTAGACAAACAATGAAAATAAAAAGATGTAAACTTTTTCTCATTCAACAAATAAAACACCAAATTTACCTTGAAAGACTTTATATGTGAAATGGAACGAATACGGAGTAATGACGCTTAAAAGTAAGTACCCACACTCTTATTGCATGATCCAATAAAATCGGAGTGAAAAGCTCGAATCTTGAAAAAAAATAAAGTCGCCGACAAATACGAGCTCCCAACACAAAGACAAAGAGGAAAATAAAATGAGAGAGCTAATTTCCCAACTAAAAATTTGAGAAATGAGGGTGGTTCCAAAAAATACAAAGCAAGATGTCTATATATAGCTACACCACAAACATACACACACACACACACACACACACACACACTAAAAACACAAACATTTAATGAATTATGCAGTTCGCCAACTCTCAAAATTAGTTTCGCAGCAAGTGCTAGGTCTTGCGCTGGCCTCGGATGGCAACTCGATGGGTCGCGAAATGGAGCTCGCTGCAAGACCTAGGTCGTCTCGGGTCGGACTCGCGCGCTCAAGGGATGGATCTCGCAGCGAGTGCACGCTGGCAGCTTCTCTCACGCCAGAGGGCGCACACGCGAATGCTGGGCCATTGGCGAGTGGCCCAGGCCGTCTCGGGCGCTCGCGGAAGGAGAGTTGCGTCGCGAGTGTGCTGGAAAACACTCGCAGCCTGGGTGAAAAATTACGCGGGCGCAAACTACGGCTGGTGTGAACTTGCGACCTGTGCGAAAAATTCGACGGACGCGAACTGCTGGCAAGCGCGGGTCTCTCCCGCGCCACGTCTCGCGCGCTCGCGCATGCGGATGTCACTGATGAAGATCATGATCCCGACTACTAGATGTGTCTCGGACGGACGCGCAATAGACCCTCCTTCGTTGACGACAAGTTGCACAAACGACGCACCTAGGCCTTCTTTTGAACAAGTGGTGTAATAATGTTTTAAGAAAAATACTAACACATGAATTGATCAAAAGATCGATTTTCTATTATGAACTAAATTAAGAAAATTTGAAGTAACAATGA